AGTTAGAGCCCTACACAAAGTTGGAAGAAGGAAGCGGATTGTTGGATATTGAGCGTCACACAGCCTGCAAATCTCGACTTTTAGTTTTTCATCATGAGATGACACAGATTGTGTTGTCTTTTGTGTCACAGTGGCATAGTGGAGAGAGATCTGGCCTAGATCTGCTAACTGCTGCGTGTGTCAGGGTATTGTGGCTGCTTAAAGTTGAGGTTGTCACTAAGTTGAGGCCTTGACACTGCATTCACACTGTGGTTATTGTGTCACTCCATCCTCACCAGTAGTGGGCGGAGCCAATGCTACGTTGATTGGATACACTGTGCAAAGTCAACACACTGCATTTCCTGATCTGATCTTTGTTTTGTGACAGTGATGACTTTGAAAGCCCATTGTGCACAAGCGTCATCAGAGGAATGAAAGGCCGATGTATGAGGAAATGTCTCGTCGTTCCTTGTGAAACTGCTTCACGTGCTGTGTTGTGCTGCTGAATTTGTGTGTGATGGAGTTCCAGTCGGTCTTTCCTGTTATATTAGTGAACTCAATCTCTTAACCCTCAGCTGAGGCTGTGCTTTCTTAAATCCCTGGACATTAGCTGAAGTAGAACGTTCAGTCTGGGCTTTAAAAACAGGAAGACTCCTTTCGTTTTGCAATTCATCATCGTCTCAGCCACATGGCCGCTGAAAGGGCGCCTGCTGTGTTTTTGACTCAGCACCGTGCAATACTATGTCTGATCATTCTTCTAAATGCACCCCCTCCCCCACTGTGGTGAAACACTGCAGGACTGCAGTTAAAGCTTTTTGCAAGCCATACGTGCAAGCCTTTGAGTTGTGCCTCTGATCGTCTCGTGGTTAAAAACGGGTTGTTGATTTCTCCACCTTTTTTAGGTAGCTGTTTGCAAACTGTAGTGTGTGTCTGTATGTGTATGTCTTGTTTGTGTGGTTAAGTGGTATCTTCACAATTAGACCTGTTGGTTACCAGTTAATTGTTACATTTAAAGCTGGCCTGGGTATCAGCTCTACCTGTCAACACTACCTTTTGATCCTTAGTGGTCAAAAAGAACATTCAGACTAAATTGGGTTGAAAGATATTTTAGATGATGTACCATTGCTTGATAATCATGTTGATTTGCTGGGTGTTCTCAGTCGTTTTGCATTGTCTGACTTGTATTCCTTTTTTTCCAAGAGACCTGTGTACTGTAGAGGACTGATAGATATACATGGAGACAGCAGAAGGTCACCGCGCAACTGTTTCTCACTTGAAATGTATATAAATGATGGTTTTATTATAATAAAAAGATGTACATATTCAACCAGGAGCTAGTTTGTTTCTTACTGGATTACAACTCTCCTCCTGCCTTGTATAGATCAACAGGTGGAAGTGAATTTCCCAGAGTGCCTTTGAGCCTAACCGGAGTGAGAACACGATGGCTTATGTGGTTAGTGCAACAGTCATTGCTGCAGCAATGCGTTGTGGTGTATTTACACTTTCTTGTGAAAAGGTTGCCACACTTTTACCTGAGATAAAATCTATATGTTAGTATTGAGTGATCCGCACTTTTGCTTTGATTCTCGATGAGTGGTGATAAACCACTGATTAGTGAACATATTACATAAATATCAGCATAAATATCAAATGGGGTTCTCTGAAGCAGACCTACGTCAGACAACAGTGGCCCAGTTTTAAACGTAAAAATCTCCTGGAGTCCACAAAAGCCTTTAATCACAGATCTGATCCTCATATGAGCAGAGAGTGAAGTTTTGTCTTCATCTAAAATCTGTATCTACTTATTCAGCTTAATTCTCCAACATATATAAGTATATAATTTAAACCCCATGGCATTGTTTTGTTAGCTATCTTTGTTTCTATGTGAATATTTCATGACTATTTCTAAGTAACATGTGCAGCTGCTACAAACAATCACTGATTTGTTTTACAGCTGATATATAAAACAAAAACACAACAACAACCAAAACAAAAACAAAAATGCGTGAATCAAAAAGGTTCTTGTTAAGATCAGATCTGCGGCCATTTTCCTATAAACACTATGACCATGATAGGGTCATATGATCCCACACTGACCATGTGACGTTTAAATGATTTGACAAATCGTATGAACAGGTCTAGAGATTGATCACCTTTTGGCAACACAAAAAAAAAAAGAATATTTCCCAACCAGTTGGCTGGTGGTTAGTTGAGGCTGATGCCAATCACTGTTTAAGTGCTTGTTAAAGCCCGAGAATACTCAGGAATAAATGTGTATTTCTCAACTGGTTAGCAAAATCCTCGATCGCTTTGCAAAGTAAAAAATGCAATGTGCTGCATTGCTGAAGCACAACATATAGTGTGAATGTTAACATTCTGGTTTGTGTCACACTTTCAAGTTTTAATAGTGCTCAGTTGTTAAGACAGTTAAGTTAGTATAACAGTTAAGTTGGTTAAGTTGTGTCTTTCATGAAAACAACAGATGACTGCAGCAACCCGCAACCATAGCAATCGCAAGGACTGTTGTGGTACAGCACATGATTATATGTAGCAGAAAAAGATGATAACACACATTGTTCAAATAGATTTGTTGATTTTGAAATGTTACTCTGGCCAGCACAGTCTCATTACATTAGAAATAGCCAACAGTGATGTTCGGGCGCATTGTTTTTCTAGTGTTTTTGTGGTCATTATATTTTGTGACATATATTTTTTTAAAACTTTTGGGGGGGCTGTAGAAGTTGGTTTTGTTAACAGTGTCATGCTTTGAGCTGCAGCTCTGGGCTAAACCACAGCTTCATTTCCTCTCAATGTAGCCGAGTGGAAAGTTCTGTCAGAGGCATTTTCAGCACCTTTTGAAACCACAACCACCCTCCCTCTTTCACACCAATGACACCATATGCACCTTTTTTTTTCAAAATATTGATCTTGATAAATGTAACAGCACACCACCTATTATTTAGAAGCCCTTGCTTGCGTCTCAAGAACAGCTGTTGTCTTAATCTTCATCATCATCAACTCCTGAGGAATCATAATGAAGACCACTCACATCCTTTTGCTGTGCATCCTTGGAGCTGCTTTGTTGACTGCAGTTAACTGCACTAGTAAGATTACCTTTAATGTCATCATTAAAAGAGGTTTTATTTTTTGAGTAAGTGTAATGAAACGTCTTTTTCTCAGATGCAAATGGTCCTGACAACTGCTGCTTCAAGTTTTACCCGGAAGAATTACAACGCAAGACCGTTCTAGTCGTATCGACTGACTGATCACCGATGCTTCCAAGCTGGTGCTCATGTAAGTGAAGAAATACTGGGTTACTTTCTTGTCATAATGTTTAACACAATAACTGAAATTACTAGTAATGAAAAATGCATCCAGTTATGACCATTTGTAACTGACAGTTTTTGTGACAATTAAAAATTCATTTTTCATTATGACACATGGAACATACTTCTCATTTAACTGAATTTATGTAACTAGGAACTCAATTTGTTCATCTAATATTTCGTCTCCAAATTACTGATAGGAAAACTCGTGTTCGAAATGCTATTAGTTATTTTTCTCTTTTATTTTAAAAAAACAACAACACACAATAACAGCAGCATTTCTCGCCTCTTTGTTTCAGCTTTGTTACCAAAAAGGCTCGTTCAGTCTGTATGGATCCGTCTCTCTCCTGGGTCGATAGCATCATGAAAGCGCTGGACGAGAGCACTTTTTAAACCAGCTGCCTGCTCATCATTTCATTTTGTTCTGCTTTATCAGATAATATCATATCCAATGTACCTTTATGACTTTTGTAATTAGTGCAACTCTGTCTCAACTGATCCAAAGCTAGTTATTAGCCTGAAGCAATCCACTGAAAAGTCCTTTGATTGTGTAATGTCTCTTTGCTTTGTGTTATGTGTTATCCTCCAAAATAAACACCACAAAAATACAAGCGTGTGAAACTTTTTCTTGTCTCTTCTTCATTT